GCATGGGAGAAACTGCACCTCCTGAGCAGTAAGGAGAAAGGAATGAGGGAAGGTGCCCACAGATGAGAACAGCTCCAGCTTCTAAAGAAACACAACACTTGGTAATTACTAGAACTAAGCACATTCAAACGTCACTGCCTCTTGCACTGTCAGAGCACATTCATTTTGAGAAAATCAGAATGTGCTGGGCTTGCATTCTCCCCTCTCTTTTCATGAATCTGCCAACGTGTTCAGAAAAGGTCTGGTTTGAATACCCATATTAGAGGTGTATTAATTTTGAACTTGTCAAAAGGACTATTTGCATTGGAAACAGTTCTACGAGTTTGTCTGCATCACGAAGGGAACGAGCCCCCTCCTGCTGGCTCTGTTCTGATTAGCTTGGGTTGCTTCCAGCTGAACTCAGGCACAGGCTCACTGGGCTCTACTCTCCCATCCTTCTGCTTCTCTCCCTTATTTAACGATGTTTGAAAAAGCCAGGCTAAATATGATGGGAGCTAAACTCTTATTTTGGTTCTCCTCGCTTTGTAGACAAACCCTGCAAGTGTGGAAGGGCTGCAGACCCCGTGGATCCCTGTGTCTAATTGAAGCAGACAAGACTGTAACACAGACTTTGCATATTTCAATGAAATATTCATGAATCCAGGAGAGAATAACCCGGGGTGAACATCAAGTTGTATAATCTGAATATATTCTCTATAACTGTCAGCAACACGCAGACAGCTCAGAAAATTCCGGGGAGGGTCTGTGCTTGTTGAGAAACATCTCGCTGCTTTGGCTCTGAGGACAATGATGATTGTGTTTGCCCAGACTATTTAATTAGCAGATTTCCCAAATTGGGCTCTCAGGGACTGAAGTCCCCATTTACCCCATGTGGAAGCATGTGGCTTCCCGGGAAGGCTGGGGAGCTCCAGCTGCCACTGGAGTGGAGGTGCCCAAGCAAGGCAGTTCCTCACTCGGCTGTTTAATCCAGGCTGAAGAGCTGAACATTAAACACACCTTCATTAGATGATGCTCGTCTCTATTTCTGCATTGATTCCTCTGAAGACCTGCAGGTTAGGAGTGGGAAGGAAAATCAGTAATGGAGCAAAATGACTGTGATTTAGAGATCGGATTGCAGGCAGCCAGGGCCATGCATCAGGATAATGAGATTCAGTCTTGTTTGCTTACAAGCACTGGAGACAGAAGCAGAAAATGTGATCCACCAAGCCAGCTCTCAGGAAATGAGGAACAATAGAGTGAGGAAATCGAATTTCAAACGGCAGGGATATATTTATCGAGTTTTCCTTGGGATTTCTGCAGAGCTTTGGGGCGTTCTCTGGGCAGTGTTTTTTTCGGGCAGCTGACATATGGCAGGAGGATTAGATCACTGCAAAGCACCGTTGGTTCTGACCTATTTGTTAATGCGGGGCTGGGGTCAGCGACAAGGGACAAATGCACTTGTCACTGTTTGGGGCTTTTCAAGTGCTGCTCCTGTTGTCCCTCACACCGTGGCCAGACATTTGGAGCAAACTCATTAGCTAATTAGTGCTGTGCTCAGCCCCACGTGGGCGATATTCCCATTATGGCCGTGGAACAGGCCCTCCTGAGGCTCCCTGGCAGCTGCTCTTCCCTAGGTTAGCTGGGAGGGCAGCTGGGGGAGGATGTGCCTTCCTCATCGTCTCTGGGAGAGCCTCCTGCATTCCTGGCATCCCATTCCTTATCCTCCTGCTCCTCATCCTCCTGCTCCTTGCTACTCCCACTCGCTGGGACCACTGCCACCAGCTCGTCTCTGGTGACCAGTGACAGTGAGATAAATAGGGTTTCATTTCTCACAAGAGGGCATGGTGTGAAGCTGTGCCAGGGGAGTTTAGGTTATCAGGAAAAGGGGTTTCACCCCTTTTCCTGCAGCTGAGAGGGTGCTGGGGCACTGGACAGGTTCCCCAGGGAATGCTCAGGGCATCAAGGCTGCCAGAGCTCCAGGAGTGTTTGGACAATGCTCTCAGGGACACGGTGGGATTTACAGAATTACAGAACAGTTTGGGTTGGAAGGGATTTCAAAAACCCTCCAGTTCCACCCCTGCCATGGCAGGGACACCTTCCACTGTCCCAGGTTGCTCCAAGCCCTGTCTAACCTGGCCTTGGACACTTCCAGGAATGTGGCAGCCACAGCTTCTCTGGGCAGCCTGGTCTAGTGAAAGGTGTCCCTGTCCTTGGTGTTGTCCTGTGCAGGACCATGAGTTGGATTTGATGCTCCCTGTGAGCCCCTTCCATATCCCAAGGATATCCTGGGAGTCTGTGAGCTGCCTTCTCCATGTGGATTGCTCTGTGGTTATCAGGGTGGTGCCCCAGCTCCTGGTGCCCATCTCAGACTGCAGATTGTGGCCTTGGACTCTGTTCTGCCAACGCAGCTGAAATGTTGTGGGCTGGGAAGGATCAGAGATGGCTCGGGTCAAGATCCAGGTCCAGCCTGCTCCAGGGAGGGATGGGGCAGGGCTGCAGCGGGGAGTGTTCTGCACCAGCTCCTGCCTTTGAAATCACAGGACAAATGCAGTGACCTCCTGTTGCTAATAGGAAACAAGAGCCATAAATCCACTGCCATGAGTCTGCTCAGGGGCCACCAGGAGGGAACATCCCTGTGCAGCTTGGGCAGAGCTCTGCTGGTGCAGCTCTACCACTCGTGTACTGCCTAGGGCAGCAGGAACACTGCACTTTAAGGCATTAGCACTGATATAATAATCAAAAAATAAGTGATTTTTCATGGCTGGTTTGTTTTACTCGCACTAAGGGGCTTGATCTGGTTGATAGAGAAGCGTTTTTTTGGTGGAAGTGTGCCAGCTGCAGGAGGTTTTTGCTGGGTTTGCTGATTTGCACACTTAATGATGTAGACAGACACCTGGGATGGAGCTGGGAATGGAGAGGAAGCTGCTCCTGCTCTGGAGAGCTGTCTGCCCAGATCTGGAAGGAACACAGGCAGGAAAGAAGGCAACAGGAACAATCCTGTTCTTCTCATTTTATTTTAACCAAGAGCTTTCTTCTCCTCCTTTAGAGCTGTCAGCACCTGATCATTAGGATTAATGAACATGCACAGAAACATTGGGTTTCCATCATTGCTGTTTTCTTGCAAAGAAGAAAAGGGGGAAGTATTCTTTCAGCTCCTGCTGATACCATCAGATGTGTGCTGATCCCTTATTTTTTTCACCCAGAATTTAATCCTGCCTAGCTCAAGGTTAACAGCTAAGCCAGAATCACAGCTTGCTGCAGAAGATTCGGAGCTTCCCGGCTCCCAGATGGTGTTCAAGGCATTGGAATGTGCAGCATTTCTAAACAAGTTGCTTTTAATGCAGCTCACCCGGCGTTTCACTGCAGTCCCCGTTCTTCTGTATTTAAACCTCAGATCTGTGGCAGATTTCATAGTGGCTCCATGGGAGGAAGGGCTGGGCTGTAAGTGGTGGATGCTCCATCCAGGGAGGTTTCCAAGGCCAGGTTGGATGGGTTTTGGAGCAGCCTGGGACAGTGGGAGGTGTCCCTGTCCCTGTCAGGTTTGGAATGAGATGATTTTTAAGGTCCCTTCCCAAATCCCTTGTGGGATTTGATGAAGTTTGCAGCACTCAGCCTGACCTTCCTTTCACTTAAAAGCAGTGACTCATAAACTGGATTTCGCTCCACATTTCTGTTTTCCTATGCTTTTGTAAGGCACGATTCCTCAGGAATTGGGGTTTTAAATAACCAGCAGCAGATCCAAGCAGAGCTCTGCTCTCCAGCTTCTCCCCTGGCCCACACCAATCCCGACTGTCTCCCGAGCAGCCGTGTCCCGTTTCCTTGAATTGTCTCCTGGTTTTAAGATGGGAACAAATATATTCAGGGAGGACTACAATGGGAGCAGAGCCCTCCTCCAGCCGTGTGCCGGACACAGGTTTAGTCATTATCCCGAGGGGAAGGACGTGTGCTCTGACCCACCCAGACCCTCCTGCCACGTTTGTGCCTCTGTGTCCCTGCTGGGCTCGCCTTCATCACCCAGAGTGGTGACCCACTCCACAAATGTGTCCATAAAGTGTCCCCTTAGACATAAATGTAGTTATTTTATATTGGCATCTGCAGTGGGAGTATCTGCGCTGTGTGAGGCAGTGGGAGCTGTGCCAGGGAGGTTCAGGTGGGACACCGGGAGGGATTTTCTCGTAGAAAGAGTGAATAAATATTGGAATGGGCTGGCCAAGGATGTGGAGGAGTCGCTGGCCCTGGAGGTCTTTAAGGAAAGGCTGGATGTGGCACCCAGTGCCACGGTCTAGTTGACAAGGGGGTGTTTGGCCACAAGTTGGGACTTGATCATCTCAGGTCTTTTCCAAACTAATTCATTCTATGATTCTGCTTTGGGGGCTGACAGCCCACACTGGACCTCGATTTTTGGGGGGCAGCCCTGTCCTGAAATGTGTTTCTCCTGGGCGCTGTGAATGTTGGGTTGGAGTATGTTCCCCAAGCCTTCTCCTTCCATCAAAACCAGCCCCAGACCTGCTTTAAAGTGTACCATGATCCATAAATGTGGTTATTTTGTACTGATATTAATTAATTTCTAATTTTTGTCCCTGGATTTTGGGGGATCTCTAGCCCTGAACCCACTTCTTCCTCGGCTCTGTAAGCAGTGAAGGGGATCCCCAAGCGCCCTCCTTCCATCAAACCCAGTCCCGCACCCTCCCTAAAGCGTTCCCTGACCCATAAATGTAGTTATTTTGTAATGATAGAGTTGTTTTTTATTATTTCACACAGGTTTTTTGGGGGACCCCTGAGGAGTTTCCCCAGGCGCTCTCCCGTACAACGTCGCCCGTGCCCGGGGGCCGATCCTGCCTCGCTCCGCACTGGCGCCGGGTCCGGCTGCGAGGAGCCGCGCCAGGAGGGAGGGAGGAAGGAAGGGAAGAGGGAGGGAAGGAGGGGAAAAGGGAGGGAAGGAGGGGACGGGCAGCGCCGCGTCCCCCCCGCCCTCAGCGCGGCCGCGCCTCGGGGCCGCGCGCGGCCGCCGGTTCCGCCTCCTCCGCCGCCTCCCCGCGGCCGCCGCCGCCATGTTGGATGGTGCGTGTGGGTGTCAAGCGCAGCCCGCGGCCGCCGGGCACCGGGACACCGGGACACCGCGCCCGCCCCGCGCCCGCAGGTCAGCGCGGCTCCCGCGGGCCGCGGGACGGGACGGGGGGAACGGGCGGGCGGCCCCCGCAGCGCCGCCTTTCCCCTCGGCGGGGCGCGGGGTGGGCGCGGGAAGGGCTCCCGGGGGTCCCCGCGGGGAGGGCGCGGGGCCGCGGTCGCCTTTGTTGTCGCCGGTGGGTGGCTGGGCGGGCGGCGGCGGGGACGGGCCGGGCCCCCGCGGGCCCGGCTTCGGGCCTGGCTCCCGATGGGCCTCCCGGGGCTGCGGGGGATGGCGGGGCCTGCGGGCTCGGGGGGCTCCCGGCGGCGGCGGCGCTGGGGCGGGGGGGCTCCGCTCCGCCCGGTCCGACCCCCGCCCCGGCGTTGTTCACCTCCATCGTGGCGGGGCCGGGGATATTTTGTTGTATTTTCAGTGCTATCGTTGTTTGGGAGATGTGTGTTAATGCTTTTAATGATTTTTAAGGGTCTGTTTTATGTAGGGGGCTTGGACTAGATGATCTCCAGAGGTTCCTTTCAACCCTGATAATTCTGTGATTCTGTAATATTCTCTCTCTCCCCCTATATATATTTACACCGATACATACTTATATATATATATATATTTTAAATTTTTTACCTGCAGTACCTGTGATGCTAGAGATTAGGGTTGGGTAGTCAGCGAGCTGTATTACATTATTGCTGTGAAATGTATTGAAACAGTAATTATCACAGGCTGCCCGCAATGGAAGTCCCCTATTTTAAAGCCGTAAGGCTTTAATGTAAATGTTAAAATATTCATGTTAAGATTTAAAGCTCTAAGGCTTTAAGACTGGTAGCGTTTGGTCTCAGTTTTATGGGTGTGTAATGCTTCCCCCTCCCCCTTCTCAAGTACGGTATACGGATCTGAAAAGCCAAGTGAGATTTTAAATTGGACATATTTCTTGTTCTCATCTATTAAGAAAATAACCTGAATTATCTACATGCTCATCCATTTTCAACAGGAGGCCTAAAAGACTTGTTAGGATTGTGAAGCTGTTGCAGATGTTACGGGCTGTAGAGTCTGACTTGAGGAGTTCAAAATGCAAATCAGGCCACGGGATTAAGTTTTATTATTCTCTCCACTGAAATGCTTGTTTTATGGTAACACAGAGCTCTTGCATAATTCCAGTGTGTTGCTGTGTTTTGTGAGACACAAGGTCATAGGAAATTGTATTGTTGGGGTGTGAAATGTGGGATGAATGATTTTTTTAAAATCAGAAATATATTGTAATGGTATCTTTAGCAAAATGCAGCCTGTTTAGGAGTTACTTCTAAATATGTTTGTCTTGGCTGATTCTCAGATGTGTTATTTTTGAACAAACTCAAGTGTAGAGTTTTATTGGGAGGAATCAAAACTTTTGATAAATTTTCCTTTATGGACTCCAAGTAATGGTAAACCAGCTCGACAGAATTTCAGAGATAAACTTCCCCATATTAAATATTTAACCATGTTATCAAAAATTATCAAGCAGAAATGACCCATGAGTGTGCATTCCTGAAGGCGGATTCTGATAAGGCCAAATTGACTGTGGGCTCCATTGGAGGAAGTTTGACTTGGGGGTGCTGATGGTAACTTCCTCTATTCCATGGAGTTACTCTGCAACATTTCACCTGTGTCACAACAGCTCTCTGACACAGCAGCTTGACTTGTACATCTGCTGAGGAATGGAAATTGTTATCAGCCTTTGAGAAATGCAGGGCAGCGCTCCCAGGATCTTTGAATCCCAGAATGGGATGGGTTGGGTTGGAAGGGACCTCAGAGCTCATCCAGTCCCACCCTGCTGTGGCAGGGACACTTCCACTATCCCAGGTTTTTCCAAAAATGGTCCAGCCTGGCCTCGGGCACCTCCAGGGATCCAGGGGTGGCCACAGCTTCTCTGGGAACCTCCCCACCTTCCCAGGGAGGAATTCCTGCCCAGTATCCCATCCAGTGCTGCTCTCTGGCAGTGGGAAGCTGTTCCTTCTTGGCCTGGCACTCCAAGCCCTTGTAAATAAATATTCTCTCTCCATGGACTTCTGAGAAAAAGCAGCCTTGTTCCCTAGGTAGAAGCTAAGCAGTGGTGGGTAATATTTGGGTTATAAAAATGCTGTTTATGAGTTACCTGATGGGTGTGGAAGGAGCAGAGGAGAGAGCCCTGACTGTCAGATAGCCTGGCTGGTGATGTTCATGTTGGCTTTCACTTGCATTTATTCTACAGTCACATTTAATGAAGGGTTCACAAACATCTGATGTCCAGTGTAATGCAGGCAGCAGAAATGAATTCATCTTGCACTGACCACATCATTATTTACATAACTGGTTAATCATGCTAGTTTTGTTCCAGCTGTCAGCCATTTGATTGCTTTAAAACTTGGAGCTTTTAAGAAGCCTCAAATCTTGGATCACTGCTGGGAAATGCCAAAGGCCTAATTTGTTACTTCATAAAAATGCTGATAGTCTCTCTTGATACAGAAATCGGGGTTTTGTTTCTGTGGTTGTTGTTTTTTTTTTTTTTCCTTTAGACAGAGAGAGAGATCATTAAATGATAATCAGTTTAGGGGAAATACATTAAAGAGTAGTTATGATGTTCCTGATCTTGCTTTTCTTAGGTCTCCTACGTGGGATGGGGAAATGACTCTGGCTTTTGCTTGGTGTAGAGGAATATAAGTTACTCTAATCCCTTTCTTTAATGACTGGCACTCAGGAAGCAGCTTCCCAGTCTTGCAGGGCCATATTTGCAGAGTGCTAAAGTGTCCCTTGGGATGTTGCTAATAGAAAATGAAATGTGCCTGCTTTGTAGGAACGCCTGTAATGTTCTTTTCCCACTTTGCCTCGCTCTGATCTGTGCGGGGAAAATATCGAAACGTACCAGCATCCTGCTGGCTTAAGTGCTTCAAAGAACAGCAGGTTTTTGTGTGTTTCAGTAGCCTGGCTGCTCATTAAGGAGGCAGGAGACTCCATGGAGGAGAACAACACGGATTGCTGTGCTCTGGAATCAAACCTGCCGGGGCTGATTGTGGTTGTGCTGGCGTTGGTGTGCTGCAGGTTTGGTACAGGCTGGGCTGTGCTCAATGGCAGACCCTGGAAAGCCTGAGTTAATCACTTCAGCTGTTGGTACAGGACTGCTTTCCTGTTCTGTGTGGGGAGAGAATTCAGAATGGTTGAATGTGAGTGAGTTCAGAGACTCTGGGCCTCAGGATGGATCTAGAACTCAGTGGCTGTTGGGCTGAGCCTCTCAGTTGGAGGTGCAGCAGGTAGAAAGCTACAGGAAAACTGGTATTCTTTATTTATCGTTTTACAAATAACAGTTTTGTCTCTGGTTTCCAAATTTGGGGTTTGCTTCATTTTATGATGCTGCTCCATTGATAAAGGTGAAGTTGTTGGGTCAGAAGGTTCTGTGGTGTTTTCTGTAGGTAACCAGTGGTTGTAGGCAGAGTTTAAGGAGAGTAGCTTAAGTTACCAGGATTGGGTTCTGTGTAAATATCTAATAGTGAAGCTTGTATGAATGATGATACTAATTAGAAAATCAGTATAGAAGTACTTTGTGTTTGTTCATTGCACTGGCACTGAGGATGTCTGCAGAATTCCATTTGTAATTCACTATTGTTCCTTTGTATGTGGAAATACAACTTTGAGTTATGCTAGCAAGATGCTTTTTCTCTGTATAGATAATTTCCAGCTCATTTTTCTGGTATGATTACAAAAACTGAACTTGAATTGATCTCAGAGCCAATACCCTGTGTTACATTAATTGTTAATAGTGAGTCTCTGTGTTTGCGCTGTTAACATAAATGCCTCTAAGCGGTGCCTCCAGCTTGTGTTCAAGGCCAGGCCTGGGCTGTTCACGCCCCCTGTGCCTGGGTTTGCAAACGCAGCTCGGACAGGTCCCGCCGGCAGTGGGGGTGCAGCTGCCTCTGGGTGAGACCGGGGCCAGCCCTGCCTGGCTGCAGCTCCGCCTTGCAGGCTCCCTGATCTGGGTTCTGTGCTGGACGTGGCTGGGGAGGTTGGAAGGAGTCTCAGACACACTCTTGTTTTGTTGTTGTGATCCATACAAATTGTTTTCAAGGCACAGTTTTCCTTCCACCATCAGAAGTAGAGCTCCCTGAGCTGTCTGGAGTGATCAGCTGAAATTTGTGTGAGGCCTCTGCAGTTTCCTTCCACCCTG